GGCACATAACAGAAGGGCTCAGTTATTCACTGCTCTGGCCCACGTCACAATCAGGGATCCATAGTTCACTGATTGGGTCAGATTTGTTCAAATGAATTCCGATGTGTCTATTTTTATGCTGAGACTACTTTCTTGCCACCAATGCGAAATCCTACCACGCCTGCCATTGCTGCCTCAAATTGCTATGTTGCGAGATTTTGAGCTGAGACTTACTACTTAGGTGACTCTCTGTGCATCCTCAGTGTATGCCCTATTGAACTTTCTAGTCAGTTCTTGCTGACTGGGCCTTTGCCCTGTCTCTGGGAGAAAGTGGCAGATGTGCATAATAGTGGGTTGTTGGGATCAGGGTAGGGTTGCCAAGTCCGACTTACCTTGCCGGCGGGGGACTCCGGGGTGGTTCCCGGCGCGCATGCTGCATGCACGTCACAGGGAAGTGTCGTCATGACGCCGGGCACGCTGGGGGCGGGGCCATGACCATACAAAGGAAAACCATAGAGTTTTCCCTTGTATGGCCGTGGCCCCGCCCCCCAACGTGCCCGGCGTCATAACGTCACTTCCCTGTGACGTGCACGCTGGGGCGGGGTTCCCCCCGGGGCCCGATTCCCTGGCGTCGGGGAACAGGCCTCTGGGGCGGGGGGATTTCCGCCCCCCAGGGGGACTTGGCAGCCCTAGATCAGGGCTATACTAAAGACCAGACCAGACCCTTGGACTGCCCGCTACCAGTTCCTCTCCTGATGGTGGAAGCTGCAGATAAGCAAACCCTGTAGGTTTTTCAAGGTAAGATACAAGCAGAAGTAGTTTGCCATTGCCTGCCTCTGTGTAGCAAGCCTCGACTTCCTTGGTGGTCTCTCATCTGAATACTAACCAGGACTGACCCTGCTTAGCTTCTGAGATTTGACAAGACTGAGCTACCCTAGGTCATCCAGGTCAGAGCAGGATCTAGAGCAGGGGCCTGTAAACATTTAATAGCATTTGATAATCTTCTGACAACAGCAATATGCTATTCAGTATTTGACACCGTTCCACCCTCTAAAGCAAAAGAAGCCAAATGAGATATTTGTGACTACTAAAATTCACAACAAACGCTTCCAGACTTCTCACCACCTCCCACCGGGAGACCTTCAACATGCATTTAATATTGGGACATTTGGTTAACATCGCAGAGCTTTGCCCAGTCATAGAACTGTGATACTGAGTGCAGTAAATAAATCTCCCAAGAAGTATATTGCAAAAAAGGTGAACTTATTCAGGTAGATCCAGTTCACATTCAGGTTGCAGCCAAAAGAAGAGAAAGAAGTCTATCAAAAATGACTAGCTTGTCTGGCATCCTGTGTGTGGGAGAAGGAGGGCATTGTCTCTACAGGAGAGACCTGCAGAGCCATGTGTCTCCATGGAAGGCCATGGAAAGAGAGGGAGAGGACAAAGAGAGAGGAGGCGTCAGAGGGCGGCTCCCAAATTAAGACAGAGAGGCATTCAAGGAGTTAATACCTATGTTAGCAGTCAGACCCCCTCCACTTCCTGAGGAGTAGTTTATAGCTAGAATGGCCATAAACATAAATGCAAGACACCCTAAAATGACACAAAATTGATGACGGTCAGAAACAAGCCTGGATATGTAGGCTGCGATCAGATGGCAGGCTTGGCATGGTATGGCCATGCCTCTAATATCTCCAGAGCTATTTGTTCCAGAGAGGGAGCGACCAGACGTGCCACCCTTCTTTTTTTAAAAAAAAGTCTACTTTGCGCATGTGCAGAACCACTTATTCACCATGGGCGAATATGTGGCTATATGCATATTGCTAGCTGAAGGGGGGAAAGGGTGCTCAGAGAGCAGAAGCCACAGACCTCCAACTGTCTTGAGCGTGCAATGGGGTGATTAGATGGCCAGAAATGCATGGTGGAACAATTTGAGCTGTAAATACCAGACTTCCTCTGGGGGGAATACAGGGGGCCAACAACTGGGGAATGGAACAGAAGGCAGATGTCGCTGTCTGGACACACATATTAAATCCAGTAGGAAGAAGGGAAGACATTGGACCAAACAGCTCGTCTGGTCACAGCCGTAGTTTAGAAGTGCGAATAGGAGTGGATGACTGTCTACTACCCCTCCATGCTCCGGAGAGATGCATAATTTAAGACAATGGGTCTTCCAAACACCTATTGACTCACCCTTGGACTAATCCCATCTACACCCACTTCCTTGCACCCATAAGAACATAAGAACATAAGAGACGCCAATGTTGGATCAGGCCAAAGGCCCATCCAGTTCAACACTCTGTGTCACACAATGGCCAGAAATACCAGTCCCATCAGGAGGTCCACCAGTGGGGCCAGGACATTAGAAGCCCTCCCAGTGTTCACCTTAATTAATCACCCATTCACCTTAATTAATCAGTGTTTAATTCTGTTCACCTAACCCATTAGTCATTCCTGCCAGGTACTTGTAGGGTTGTCAGACCTCTCACAGATCATGGCTCACCTCAGAAAAGGACATTAAGTTATTGTTT